TGGTATATTGTCTGGACCGGATGGCTTTGCTTCTTTGAGGCCCTGCAGCTCCTTCTCAACTACAATATATTGAACGGTCATGCCGCATGCTCACTGGTTAAATTATCCGCCATGTTTGTACAACTAGGGTCTCTCGTTGATCCATGGGATTGCAGGATATTCCACGCATCTGATTAGGAAGGTAAAGCACTTCGGTTGTCGTATATAGTGGTGTTTCATGAGCAGACATGGAAGGGCATTTGTGCTTCCTTACCCATATCGATGATTGATCGACGCAGGTTCTATCAGTTACCTGGTGCTAAGTGATAGTTCAACCACCGATTTTGATGATGTCTACCATATGCCCAAGAGCAGAGAAGGTGGATGTAGTCAGGCATAATTAAAGTAGACGAGAAGCCATCTGCCACACTCCAAACCCTCTCCCCGCTTGAACCGGGAACAAGGCAAAATCAACGTGACCGATCAGGAATCAGGCGTAGGCCGCTTTCTACGATGCAGGCCAAAAACACCGCCTACTCAATCTTAAGTAGCAGTAGGCTTTTGTGCTAGTATTATTGCATGACCGGCCCTCACTCACCTCCAGTAGGTGCCCGGAAAGATTCAAGGACTCCGAGTCTGATATTGCTTCTACGGCTAATATTATTATTCATACTGCTGCTTACCAATAGTGTAGCCGAGTGATAGTAGTGTTGGTAATATAACTAACCCTAACAGATGGTCACAAATGACGCTGATTAGAATCAGCGCTGGGCTCATGTTCCTTCGATCTGAGTTGGTAGTGGAGGCCTTGATATTTGAGGCTCAGAGCACATCAATGGTGACCCTGGTTTCCACTCTCCAACCGCTATTCATCAAGACTGTGCCAGTTTCTACTAGATTTAGACTGCGGGATCTCTACTGCTGCTACAGGTATTATTCCAATGCTAGAAGTGTCAATTATAGAATCATGCGTGCTAAGAGCAGCAAACAGTATACTACAATGTGGCCTGTACGTGCTGTAGGATATTTGAAACTTATATGTAGTCGTAACCTATGTCGGGCAAATAGTAAACTGAAGGTTTAGAGCAGCGTTAATTACTAATAGGCCAAATTTTACCATGCATTCAGGTCTAACATAGAAGCCTTTTCCGTTTTTCCAGGCTGATTTTCACTTACTACAGTATCTAGCTTGCGACGGACAGCGCATAACTACAGGGTACCGTTTTCCTCATGATTTGGACGACCAAGGCGAATTTAGATCATGCCATAATCTTTCGATCGAGTGTGTCATCTTATAACTATTTCGCTGTCTGGTAGACTGCGAGAAAAACAGTCCAATTTTTAAGTGCCGTGCTGGTATTTCTGCCACCACTATTGCTGCCAATACTGGCAGGCAATAGAGCTGAGTGTTGGTAGTGCTGGTACTACTACTGAAGCTAATGTAGGTGACGCTGATTAAAGTCATCGCTGTGGCTCATATCCCCTCGATCCCAAAAGGGACTGTGAATCTGGATTTATGCTATTCCGAGTGACTAAATGCTTGGGGCTCTGATCAAATTAGGGATTTTCTTAGTTTCCACCCTGTCAACTCTATCTACCAAACTTTGTTAACGAAACGTTGTTAGGCACTAGCTCAAGTTTTACCATGCCTTTATGTCGCATAATGTCATATATCGTTATAAGGATAACTTTTCGACTTTTTTCAGTATTTATCGCGCTCTCTTTCTTGAGGTTTGGGGGACATCTCCTGTCTTATAGGAGATCAATCTCTTGCATAATCAACTAACATTGCTATACCCCATAACTGTTTCATTGGCTGAGTAATAATCAATAAGCAGAGCAGATAGAAACACGAGCTTTCCACCTTTTCTCGTCTTCATCTGGTGAATGTGCAAGATACCCTGGGTTGTCCTGCGAGCATGCCATTTCTGTGCGGGTTTGGAGATCAGCAGATACACGCAGGCGGACTTCGCCTCAGTACCCGATATATTCGAGGTTTTTACAAACAATGTAGCCACTAAAGTTTAACAATTTACATTATAAAGCGTTGCTTCCATCGAGTGCCCTTATTGAGTTTTGAAAAGCCAAGGACTGCCTCAAGTGCCCAGGCCTATACCATCCCATATCTTCTGCTTGGTGGGGGCGCAGCTTAGTCTAGAATTAGCTAAGCAGGATGACATGGTGTTTTCTGTAGTATATGAATTTCTAAAAAAGAGGACACGTAGCCTGTGTTTTGCAATAGCTATAACAAACGGAAATGGCAGCTTACCATCATCCTCCATTTTTTCGCCTGAAGTGACTGTGCAAGATACCCAGGTTCCCCCTTTAAATGGATTTGGTGAATGCGTATTTCCTTGTGCCGGAGTACTTAG